CACAAGGATAAATAGTGTATAAAACCATTATTGAAAAATGAGTATAAGGATCCAAGAGGGGTGGGAGAGATTGGAAGCAGAGGGATGAGAAAGTGCAGGGGGAATTAATCATGGGGTTGTACAATTTGATGGGGGTTGGTAAGAGAACCAGGAAGAATTTGTTCTTGAAAACAATGTATTCGAATTCTGTAAATAAACTAGTAGAAAAGAAAAAAAAGAAAAGAAAATTATCGAATCTAATTGAACAATTCAGTAAAGTGAAAGGCAACAAGATCAATTAAAAAAAAATCAGATTCCCATAAAGTAACTAAGAGAACTCTGAAAAGGAAATAAGGAAACCAATAACATTTACAACAGCCACTCAAAAATGAAATATTTAGGAATAACTCTAACAAGAGATACAAAATCTACATTAAAAAACCCCTAGAGGTAGCGAGTCTTCTTCTCTCGGATCCTCGCTTCCAACATGACGAAGAAAAGGAGAAACAACGGTCGTGCCAAAAAGGGCCGCGGCCACGTGCAGCCTACTTGCTGCACGAACTGCGCCCGGTGCGTGCCCAAAGACAAGGCAATTAAGAAGTTCGTAATCCGAAATATAGTAGAGGCAGCTGCTGTCAGGGACATTACCGAAGCGAGTGTTTTCGACGCCTATGTGCTTCCAAAGCTCTATGTGAAACTGCACTACTGTGTGAGTTGTGCCATTCACAGCAATGTCGTGAGGAACCATTCTCGTGAAGCCCGAAAGGACCGGACACCTCCACCTAGATTTAGACCTGCAGGTGCTGCCCCACGACCACCACCAAAGCCTATGTAAGGATTTGATTCCTTAAAAGGCTGAAGAAAAAACTCGTCTGAAAATAAAATGGAAATTACACTTTAAAAAAAAACAAAAACAAAAAAAACCCTAGAAAACTATTTATAGTTTACATTTCATGTATATTTCATCTTTTTATAGAAGAAACCAATAGAAAATTACATAAATAGAAAAAGACCCAATATTCATAGATTGAAAGATTTACCAATTTGAAGACAACAAAAGCAATCTATAAATACAAAGCAAAACTAATACAGATTCCATCATAATTATTCAGAGACGGAAAAGGAAATCACCAATAGTATATGGAAGGCAAAGAGACTCCTGATAAACAAACTGCTACTGAAAAAGAAAACAAAATAGGAGGCCTGAGACTTCCTGTTCTCAAAGCCTACTGCAGACCTGCAGTCATCAAATGGAATTTCATTTTATTCAAATATCATTGTTATTAATAAATGTAGAACTGTGTCTTTCTTTGGAAATATGATATAGTATTGCATTATACAGATGTACAGTCTTATATTGATTTACTTCTTGACAACCACTCATCATTTTGTAACTCTATGATTTTAAATAGGCATATACATGTAGTATAAAAAGAAATATGCATATATTTATAAATATTATATAGATATAGATACAAAATAGTTTGGATAAACTTCTTGAATTTAAATTACTGTATGAATCAAAATGCATGTGCTTAAAAATGTTTAAAGATATACACAAAAAACCCTGTAGCAGTAACGTATGAATGTGTGCTTTCTCATAAGCTCATAGATAAAGTGTTTTATTAGGTTTTCTATTTTAACTTATCGAACAATATCATTAATATTACATGCAAGCAAGATTCTGCTGAAGATTATCCAAAATGACTGGAATAGCATATCTACAGAGAACTGCTGTAAGTGCAGGCTGGGTTTAGAACAGGTCGTGGTACTAGGGATATTGTAGCTGATGTTAGATGGACCTTAGCTGAAAGCAGGGATACCAGAAGAATGTCTATCTGTGCTTCATTGATTATGCAAAGGCATTTGACTATGTATATCAGAACAAACTGGCTGACTCTGAGAAGAATGGGAATTCCAGAACATTTAATCGTCCTAATGTGAAACCTATACTTGGACCAAGAGGCAGTCATCAGAAAAGAGCAGGGTAACACTGTATGGTTCGAAATTGGGAAGGGTGTACGCCAGGGATGTGTCCTATCTCCATACCTTCTCAATATATATGCAAAACAGATTATCCAGAAGGCTGGGCTCTATGAGGAGAAATGTGGAATCAGGATTGGAGGAAGATTCATCAACAATCTGCGTTATGCAGATGACACAACCCTGTTTACTGAAACTGGGGAGTATCTGAAGCACTTGTCACAGAAGGCCAGACTGCAGTCTTCAATATGGATTAAAGCTCAATATCAAGAAAACAAAGATTCTCACCACTGGGCCAACTGGAAGCATCATGATAGATGGTGAAGAGATTGAGACTGTTAACAGCTTTACTTTGCTTGTCTCTACAATCAACACTCTTGGTACCAGCAATCAGAAAATTAAAAGATGTGTTGCATTGGGAAAGTCTTCTGTCAGAGACCTCTTCAAAGTACTGAAGAGCAATAATGTCAGTCTGGAGATTAAGGTGCACCTGATATAGGCCATGGTCTTTGCAATTGACTTTCCATGCATCAGAAAGCTGGACAATGACAAGGGACGATAGAAGAATTGATGCCTTTGAGCTGTGGTGCTGGAAAACTTTTGAATACACCATGGAGTGCCAGGAGAACAAATACGTTCATCCTAGAGAGGATCAAAAATCAGGCTGCTTCTTGGAGGCAAGGTTTCTGAAGCTTTGTCTGACATACTTTGGACATGTACCAGTCCTTGGAGACGAACGTCATGCTTTAGAGGGTCGAGGGAAAGAGCAGGAGAGGAAGACCCTTGATGAGATGGATTGATTGAGTAACTGGGGTAATGGGTGTAGGTGTGTCGGAGACAGTGTAGGTGTGTCGGAGACAGTGAGATTGGCACAGAATAGAGCAAGGTTTAGAGTAGTTATACACAGTGTGTTGCTATTAGTTGCAGGCAATTCGATAGCACATAACAACAACTTTGCAATTCCTGAAAAAAAAAAAAAAAGCTTTTTCAATCTATACAGTTTTAATGTTAATTTCTCCTATGAGTGATATTTTTATATTTCAACTGGAGCAGTATCAATCAATATGAATTTCTCATATAAGTGAAATTTAAATATTTGAAGCCTGCTGGTATTTCTTTTATTGTGAACTGTTTATATCTTTTTCCATTTTCTCCAGTTGTTTAGGTTCTCTCTTTTAATTTGTAAGACACAAATAGGTTTTTTCTTGTTAGATTTTTGTCTTTTAACTTTGTATAAGATTTCTAAAGGGGAGATTTCAAATTTTTGTGCAACCAAGGCACAATTAGTGCCTATTCACTTGTAACAACAGAGGATGTTGTTGTTATGTGGCGTCAAGTCGCTTGCAACTCATAGCGACCCTATGTACAACAGCTCTAAACTCTGCTCTGTCCTGTGCCAATCTCACTGTTTCTGACACTCCCATCCCGATTACTCCAGTCACTGAATCAATCCACCTCATAGAGGGCCTTTTCCTCCTGCACTGTCCCTCCACCCTACCAAGCATGATATCCTTCTCCTAGGACCTGTCTCTCCTTACAACATATCCAAAGTATGTTAGATGGAGCCTCAGAATCCTTGCCTCCAAGGAGCAGCCCAGTGGCACCCTCTCTAGGATGAATCTGTTTTCCTAGCAGTCAATGGTACCCTCAATACTCTTCTCCAGCACCACAGCTCAAAGGCAACAATTCTCTTTCTATCCTCCTCGTCACTGTCCAACTCTCTGATGCATAACAAGTGATAGCAAAGACTATGGCCTGTATCAGACACACCTTAGTCTCCAAAGAGGTCCCTAACAGCAGACTTTCCCATGGCAATATGCTTTTTACTTTCCTGGCTACTGGTGCCAAGAGTGTTGACTGTGGAGCCAAGCACTCTAAAGCTATGAACAATCTCAATTGCTTCACCATCAATCCTGATGCTGCCAATTGTCCCAGTGGTAAGAATCTCTTTATCTTCTTGACATTGAGCCTCAATCCATATTGGAGGCTGCAGTCCTTGACCCTCTGCAGCAAGCGCTTCAGGTTCTCCTCAGTTTAAGCAAGCAGGGTTGTGTCATCTGCATTACACAGATTGTTGATAGATCTTCCACCAATCTTGACCCCACATTTCTCCTCATAGAGCCCAGCCTCCCGGATAATCCGTTTTGCATATAGGTTCAAAAGGTATGGAGATAGGACACATCCCTGGCGTACGCTTTTCCCAATTTTGAACCATGTAGTGTTTACTTGCTCTGTTCTGATGACTGCCTCCTGGTCCAAGCATAGGTTTTGCATTAGAACGATCAAGTGTTCTGGGATTCCCATTCTTCTCAAGAGTCAGCCACAAGTTTGTTATGATCCACACAGTCAAACGCCTTCGTATAGTCAATGAAACACAGATAGACATTCCTCTGCTATTCCCTGCTTTCAGCTAAGATTCATCTAACATTAGCTACAATATCCCTAGTACCACGACCCCTTCTAAACCCTGCCTGGACTTCTGGCAGTTCACTGCTGATGTGTTATTCCAGTTGTTTTTGAATAATCTTCAACAGAGGATAGTTATTGTCTATTTTTCCAATGAAGTTAACAAAAATAAATTCAATAATTTAAGAAGAAAAAATTAAAACTGATATATAAATATTGTTGTTGTTATGTATCATTGAGTCAGAACCAACCCATAGCTGACCCTCAAGCGGGTTTTCAGAGGCAGTTAATTGCATGGAAGGAGAATGCCCATCCTTATTCCATAGAGCAGCTGGTGTATTTAAACTGTGTGCCTTAGGGTTTGTAGCACAGCTTCTAGCCACTAGGCCACCAGATACATACACACACACACTCTCAAACAAGAAATTGCTCCATAAAAAATACAAAGCATTATGGATTGTAAACATTCACTTAAATCACACACACACACACACACACACACACACACACACACACACACAACAACCAAAAGAGAGATTACGCCACAGGTAACACAAATTTGAAAAATAGGTGACAAAAAAAAATTACTAATAAAGCCTAATGTTAACAGTATAGAACACAGTTTGTCTTACCTGACATGTGCATTACAGTATCTTTTAGAGTACTCAGTCCATGTTCCAAATTTTTTTGGAAAAAGAGCTTCAATTTGCATGAAAAGCTGTAATGAAATAATTGTACTTAATATGTTGTGATATTTTCAAGTAAGCTATTATTACTGTAAGAAAAATCAATTAATGAAACAGTATTAAGAAAGAAAAATACCTCTTTTTTCCTCAAGGGCTCCCTTAACTCCATCTCCAAATACAATGATCCTATTTTACAGAGGAAATAGCCACATGTTTCTTTAAAACATGCCTATATATTCATTTTCTATGTCTATGTAATCATATGTACATATCCACTTTTATGAATAGGATACTATACATACTATTCTTATTACACAATTACAATTTTGTCCAAAGTTGCTGGCACTTTAGAAGTATACATATAACCATTTATCAACTATGCTGTTATCTGACATTAATAGATAATTGTTGTTGTTCTTGTTGTTAAGTGCCCTCGAGTCTAGGCAACTAATAGCGACCCTATGAACAAAAGTCCTCAACACTTGTGTGACTTTCATCTTTTCTCCAGGTTCATAGGGTTTCTGGAGGCAAGCTTTTTCTGGAAGTGGATACAATCCCTGCTTCAAGCTTGTTTTAGTCAGGGAGTGCCACCAAACACTGTCCACCATGGGTGACCTCTGTATGGTAAGTGGACACACCAGGGCTGTATGACCTAAAAGAATGTTCGAAGGAAAACAATAAAAAACAGGCCCGGGGGCCTGTCAGTTTTACCATTCCAGAACGCCCAAATGCTGGCAACCTTTGGGCGAGAGACCCCCAGTTCAGCTGGCAAGTCCTCTCTGCTGACACCCACTTGTGGCAACAATAAAGCCACAAGCCCTGTGCGTTCTATCCTGGCCTCTCTTCCGGAAGCCAGAGGCTGCTCCAGCTGACACTAAGACTCCCGAGCCACATGTATGTCCTTACCCTGCAGGAAGTGGCCTGACATTTCTGTATTAATAGACAATATTTCTGTATTAATAGACAATAGTAAAAGAATAAATCTTTTGTATGATTTTTCACATTTACAATGAAAACTTGGCAGTAATAAATGTGGAGGTGTGACAAAAGAGTAATAGTGGCTATAATGGTTAAGATTATGTATCAATTTGGCTGGATTATGATTCTCAGAGGTTTGACAGTAATGTAATGATATACTGATCCTCTATTTTATAATAATGTTAATTTTCAAATAACACTCTGGGCTTTGGAACCTAGCCATCTTAATAAGTGAAAAATGTGTATCTCTTTTTAAAAAAATATTATATAAGCAATGAATTATAATATTAAAGCACAATTTAGAAGCTGAAAAGCAATTAAAAATTATGTATATGTACTATAATAAGTGTAAATGCTTTCTTGAAATTGGATTTAAAGACAGCCCCAGCTTCTGAATGAGTTCTGTTCCTAAACATCTTTCCCACCTTAATATGTGTAGGTGAGTTAACATGTGCATATGCCTGTTATCTAGGCTTATTTTAGTGGAACAAGTGGCTCAATACCATTCCAATTATTTAAAACCAGCATTTGAAGCCAGTGAAGGTGACTGTGATGAAGATTTTAATTTGATGAAAAGAAAACCTACTGTCTGGGGAATAAACATCTGGTAATACTATTTTAGACAAGGGTCTCATATCAAAGGTTGACAGAATCCTACAGGGTCTCCATAAGAAGACGACTAATAACACAACTACAAAATGGGCAAAAGATGAGAAGACTTTTCGCAGAAGAAGATATTCGGATGGCCAACAGACACATGAAGAAATGTTCAAAACCACTGGCAATAAGAGAGATGTAAATCAAACCACAATGAGATGTCATCTCACCCCAGTAGCAGTGGAAAAGTTTAACAGGACAGCAAGTAATAAATGTTGGAGAGGGTCTGGAGAGAAAGAGGAGATATAATTTTACTGTTGGTAAAATTATAATTGATACAACCACTCTGGAAGGCAGTTTGGTGTTTCCTCAGAAAGCTGAACACAGAGATTCTATATGACCCAGCTATTCTATTTCTTGGAGAGAATAAGAACTGAGGCACAAAAGGAGGAAAGCATACCAGTGTTCATAGGAGCATTATTTACAATTACAAGTACATGGAAACAGCCCAAATGCCAACCACAACTGAATGGATTGAGAAATTAGAAATTATGGTACATTCACATGATGGAATACTATGCAACATGCAGGAGCAATGATTCTGTAAATCACTATTTAATGTGGGAGGGATTAGAGAGCATTATGCTAAGTGAACTAATTGAGTCCCATAAGGACAAACACTGTGTAAGACCATTATTGTAGAATGTGTATGTGGATCCAATGAGGTAAAAGTGGGAGCAGAGGGGAGAGGATGGTCCAGAGATGGTGGTACTTAATCTTACGATCACACAACTAGATGGGTGGAGGGAGGGGTGGATGAAGAAAATGGGAAAGATCCACTGTGGAAAACAATGTTTAAGCACACCAGTATATAACAAAAATTTTATTTAAAAAAAGATTTTTATTTTGAGTAGTGGTTGGTTCAATCTTTTCGAAGTGAGGGTAGATTTTAAAACAATAAAAGGCATGTAAGAAAATTGAGACACTTGGGGACACAGAAGACCTGTACAAAGAAAACTATAGAAAACTTCCCTGTTCATGGATAGGAAGATTCAATATAGTGAAAATTACAATCCTACCAAAAGCAATCTATCTGTTTAACACAATCCCAATACTGATACCAAATTCATTTTTCAAAGAGATAAAAAATAAAAATATCAAATTTATCTGGAGATGAAAGAGACCTCGAATAAGCACAGCACTTTTGGGAAAAAAACCCCAAAGTAGGACGTATAGCACTCCCTGACCTCAAAACCTTCTACACAGTGGTAATAACCAAAATAGCATGTTACTGATGGTACAATGACAGACACATAGACCAAGGAACAGAATTGAGAACTCTGACATGGACCTACCTATATACAGTCAACTGATATTCTACAAGGAAACAAAGCCTAAATGGAGAAATGACAACCTCTTCAACAAATGATGCTGGCAAAACTGGGCTGTTATCTGAAGAAAGCTGAAATAGGATCCACATCTCACACCATAAACAAAAATCAACTGAAGGTGGATCAGAGACCTGGGAGTAAAGCCCAAAACCATAAAGTTCATAAGAGACAAACTGGAACTAAGGTTAGAAGACCTAGTCTATGCTATAGAGAGGCCGACAAATACAGCCAGAAATACACAATCTGGAGAGAATAAAATTAATGAACGGCATTTTCTAAAAACTAAATTTCTGTGCACATAAAAAAAAACAAAACCACAAACTTTTCCAATAGCATGAAAAGAAAATCTACTGATGAGGAAAAAAATTTGATAATATCACCTCAGACAAGAATCTCCTAACACAGTTTACAGAATACTACTGGGCCTCCAGAAGAAAAAGACTGAACACAATTACAAAATGGACAAAAGACATGGAAAGACTTGCACAAAGGAAGACAGTCAGATGGTCAAGAGACATGAAGCAATGTTCAAAATCACTGGCAATAAGAGAGATGCAAATCTCTAAGAAAGATGCAAATCAAAACAACTATGAGATATCATTTCACCCCAGTAAGAACAGCAAAATTTAACAGAACAGCAAGCAACAAATGCTGGCGAGGTTGTGGAGAAACTGGAACCCTTATTCACTTTTGGTGGGAGTGTAAAATGGTGCAACTACTGTGGAAGGCGGTATGGTACTCTCTCAAAAAGTTGCCAATAGAGATACCATTTGACCCAGCAATTCCACCACTGGGGATATATCCCAAAGAGACCATAACTGACATCCAAGCAGATATATGCATACCCATGTTTATCGTGGCTTTGTTCACAATAGCAAGGAGCTGGAAACAACCCAGGTGCCCATCAACAAACAAATGAATAGAGAAGCTGTGTTATATATACACAATGGAATACTATGCTGCATTGGAAAACAAGGAACTCATGCAATATTATTCAAAATGGGTGAGACTGGAGGACATTATGCTGAGTGAAATATCTCAGTCACAAAAGGACAAATATTACATGGTGTCACTGCTGTCAAATGGGACTGATATCAGGGTTGGGGTAAGACTGAGAAAAACTGGATAAACTGTGCATACTGCACTGAAACAGATGAGGGACAGAATAATTTAAAAGTGATGTATGATAGGGTACTATGGTTATCACAAGAGTCCACAATTAAGGTTGCATAATGGAATGTACTTGGGGCGGTGGGAGGGGTGCAGGGGGATTGGGTACCAGGGAGGGAGTTTTTCATTTACTTTTCAAAGAGAGGAGTGAACTGTTGGGGGGAGGGGAGAGCTGGGCGGGAGGGAAGTGCAGCAAACAATGAATGGAAATCTAAAATCCCTGTTCATTAAAATTAATAAAATAAAAAAGTTACAACAAAAGAAAGAGAGATGCAAATCAAAACCACAACGAGGTATCATTTCACCCCAGTAGCAGTGACAAAGTGTAGCAGGAGAGCAAGTAATAAATGTTGGAGACGATGTGGAGAGATGGCAACTCTCATATACTGTTGGTTGAATTGTAAGATGGGACAAGCACTCTGGAAGGCAGTTTTGCTTTTTGTCAAAAAACTGAACACAGAAACTCATTATGAACCAGATACTTCACTACCATGAACATACCCAAAGATATTAGAACTGAGATTTGTACACAAATATTAATAGCAGAGTTATTCAAAATCACCCAAATGTCCAACTGAATGGAGTGAGAAACTGGTACGTACACTCGATGGAATAATAATTTAGTACTCAGGAGCAAAGATTTCAAAAAATACTACATAACTTAGGAGAGACTGTAGACAAACTCAGTCTCAAAAGGACAAGCACTGCATACCATTATTGTAAAAATAGAAGAATAACTAATAAAACATGTATAGGGATCAGGGGGGCAAGATATGGGAACAAAGGGGTGAGGATGGGTACGGGTGAAATCAAAGGGATGCACAATTTAGTGGGTGGAGGAAGGACTAAAGGAAATGGGAAAAGATCCAGCTAAGACCTGAAGAGACAGGGTAATG